GATTTCGTAATTATAGATGTATTTATTTGGAAATAATAAGTTGGGTTTTGAAGAATAATTTAATAAAATATATCTTATTTTAGTTATCACTTTTAAAATTATCCCTGATTTGTTCAATTGATTCGTCAATGCATATTATTTGAAAGTGGCCACCACTCCTGAAGTTGAAGATAAGATGGCCACCGAATTTAAAGCTTCACTTCACTATAATATTTTTGCTTTTTATTGATTAATATATTGGACAATATATATCTTTTCTTTTGCTTATTTTCTTTCCTTATACAATCATATTTCAGTGTATGAACGTTTATTGACAGGTATTATAATTTGTCATTCAATTTTATCTTATGATACAAAATAATATGTATAAGAAACCCCTCATCTTTTTGAGTTTTTTTAAAAAAGTATAAAAACTACTTGATAAGTATAAAAATTACTTAAGATATTAAAATCGGATTTTTTTCATTAGTTGACAAATATGATTCACTACAAAATTAAGAAGAAAAAAAAAATGGTTGATTTTTTTTCCGCGCATGAGCAATATAATTTAAAAAATATTCAATATTATAAAAATAATTAATATTCAATTCGTCCCTACTTGAATTACACATATATAATGCACAATTTTGAACGAATTTTTTTCAAACTTTAAAACAAAAATTTTATAATTAAATTTTAAATTGCTCTGAAAATTTTGCTTAAGAAAAAAAAAAAAAACATAAGACGAAAAAAAGATCTGTCTTTTTAATAAAAATGTCTATATTTTCATAAATATTTAAGCTAGACTTACAAAGTTTTGTATAATTATTGCATATAATAAGTAATAACCAAAATACAAGTTACAAATTTTTGGCTACATTTCTCGGCATAGGGTGTTCAAAAACACTGCTTTGCGTTTGCTATTTATTGTTGGTCTCTCAAACCTCTAAAGGCTTCAAACTTCATTGATAAGTATGTAAATTTGCATGATATAAACACTTCTGAATTTACAAAATGATTCTTTTAGTTTTCCTAGAGAAATATGGAAAAATGTATTAGTATAGAAGTATTTCCATTATTTTGTCCACCTTCTGTATCAATCTGTATGTGTAATTCGGTCACTTAGTCATTCTTGTAGAAGTGAAAAATGCGTTATTATTAAAAGTCACAGTTAAGACCTTTAACAAAATTTTAATTCGGTTTTTTCTTAACCTCTGCATTAAGAGCTTAACGGACGCTGCTAGACACTTCGCATTCTTACTAGTTATTGCACATAAAAACATATTTGAACTGTTTACGGTGGAACATAAATTTTCAAATATTCCCGTAGTGGACTGATCGTTAAGACACGGTTCCCAGCAGATCACCGTAGTCAAGTATTACTGGCTGCGGTCAGTGTGCGGGTGGGTGACCACTTGGATCAGTCTGCGTAGGGACCGAGGGNGAAGTATATATAAATCAACCTCGTACACCTTAATTACAACCTTTACGAGGTATAATTTTTATTGCTGTTTTCTCTGCAACCTTAAATATACCTCAAATATACCTCAAAACAACCTTAATACCTCAAAAATACCTCAAATCAACCTTAAATTTTCATAAGGGTTGTGCAGCTCTAGTGCGACGTAAATGAACTACAACAACAAATTTTCAAATAAAAAATTCAGATTTATGTATATATAATATTTTTGGATTTTGGCAATTTAGAGTTTAACATGAATTTAAAAATACATAATTCAGATTTGGGCTTGTGTGATATTTATGAAATTACTGATTTTGGCTATTTACGGTATAGCATTAATTTAAAATACCCTATTCAAATGTGTAATATTAATAAAGATACGAATTTTGGCTATTTAATGTATAATATAAATTACAAAATACAAAATTCAGACTTATGTATGCATAATATTGCAATTTTAATTTGTTATTGTACAAATTAAAACTCAATTCATTCATAAAGAAAAGAGTGTTATCGTATGATCTTGTAAGTGTTTTAGATAAACATAGACTGGATGGCGCCATTTAGAATGATACTATAAATGACTACTTTCTTATTTTCCCATGAAAATATCAAGGTCGAAAAAAGGTCAAACATACGTTTCTCCGCACGTGATAGATAACCTTTGAAATTCACGTGCTGACGATAGTTTGTAGACAGAAGTTTTATCGTTTTCAAGGAATAAAAGAATTTTAGTTTTTTTTAGGTGATAATGCATCTCTTATTTCAACTAGTACTCCTTGTGAATTTGTAACATATAATTGAGAATTTAATTTGCCAATTGCTAAAAAATTATGCGGAAAAAATGTATCTAACTGTTAAACCTAGGAATGTGGAATCAGAGTTGAATAATTTTGCTCAACTCTGGTTTTATTCTATTAAATATTAGATCATTTAAATTCCATTAGAAATTCCATCCATTTAGACTCCATTAGAAATCATAAATGGTAAAATAAAAATTTTGTTACGCTGGCATTGTCTACAATCCCTGTTGTTTTTCGGCAACTTAATGAGAACTTTTGTTATACTTTACCGAGGCATTGTAAACAATGGGCCGGGATAGCCAGGGTCGGTAGGGCGCTGGGCCCATGTCCGAGAGCTCGTGGGTTCGAACCCCGCTGATCGAAGACTCCCAGTGTAGTAAAAGGTGACTGATGCGTGTTAAATCTGTCGAGTGGCAAAGTCCTCCACGTTCCCATAACAAATCAATACCTCTGGGGATACTGGATTGGAGATCGATCATTCTCTGATTCAGGTCGATGTATGAATGGGTCCACCCTATAAACGGGTGTGACAGAAGTCGAATTCTTGACCATAGATGGCGCCACTGGAAAACAAGAACAATCGCTCCTCTCCTCCTAAAACACAAAAATTACTTGGAATTTTTTTTTTTTTTTAAATAAAATTTATTTTTCAATAATAAATTTTTTTTATGAAACACAAATGTTTTTTTTTTACCGGCCGATTTGGTTATTATTAACTATAACCGATTAGGGAAAACAGCAGTTTAGGAAATATCACGTAATGATCTTAAATGTTAAAATAATCAATTTAGGGAATACCGATCAATGGTCAACACACCCTAGCATGGTTATTATCCTGGTTAATCTGGAAATTATAAAAATTGTGTAGCGATTACTAAAAATGAATGTCTTTCTTACAAACAAAAATTAAATAAATTATGAACCTATTTAATTCCCAAAAAATAATTTTCAACAAATATTAATAAATCATAGTCACACTAATTCAAAATATGAAATAATCTTTGTTTAATTATTTCATACTTTGGTGGCTTGTTATTTGGCATTGCCTATAATGCCTAGGCAATGGGAGAAATGCTTAATCATTTTATACTTTAACAATAAAATTTCGACATTGCGTACTATATGCGGACGGGAAATTTTATGCAAATTTGAAAGATAATGTAAAATGGTTCGTATTCTTCTTGTGTACAAGCATACTTTACCTTTAATGTTCAATATTATAATGTGCAAAATTATAATATATTATAACTACTGATAAATTTTCCATTCATTTCGATCATTAGTTATTTTTTAATTGTAATTAGCGATATCTAAGCTGACGTCATTCATTTACCGGTTCACTGGAAATCCATCAATCAGTTAAAGATGCAACCAATAATCGGGATATTATTATTATTAGAGATATACTATTATTATTATTATTAATAATAATAATATAAATATTATTATTATTATTATTAGGATAGGAATACGAATCGCCCAATAGGAATAGAGCAAATAGAAATTAATCGAATGATAGTGGTGCACTGATCTAGTTAAGCCTCAGACTCGGACATCTCTATTTTATTTTATAACTGGTGTTGGACAGTCAACACAATGCTGAGTTTACGACTATCAATGTTAAACTTTGTAGTCTTGTAATTCCGAACCCGGAAGACAAGGGAACTCCTGGGTCAAGCATTTGGGAAAACTTGCCTCTGTGGAGGAATTTTTGATGGAATTAACTCCCATTTATGTTACGTAGGGAAGAAAACCACGAAACCTCTCACGGTTAACCCGACGGCAAGGGGATTGTAACCCAAGATACCACTGAAGATATTTTTCGTTAGCACTGTGGTCGGGGCCAGCCGAGAGTAGAATTCGTATCAACCAGCCACCGCTGGGGTTCAAACCTGGGTTAATCTCATTGGGAGGCGAATGCTTTATCTTCTGAGCCACAGCGCAGACATCTTGGTTTAATTTTATATTTTATAGCCGGCGTTGAACAGCCAACCTAATTCTGAGTTTACGACTATCAATGTCCAACACTGTAGCCTTGTAATTTTGAACTCAACACAGAAGACAACGGAGCTCCTGGATCAAGCTTTGGGATAAACTAGCCTCAGCAGAGAACATATCAATTAGAAAATTTACTCATTAACACATGAATGAACAGAATCGCAACTCAAATTAAGTTCTGGAAAGGTAAAACATCTCTTCTAGATATGCTTGCTTGTCGAAGAACTTGAGAAATTTATTATTATACAAAGGACGACTTATAAACTCATGTTAAAACGAAGAACAGATCAGAAAAAGGCAGAATAAAGGTACATCCAGAATTTGTGAGATTCAAACCTGCTACTGCTACCTCCATTTTTTAGAGCCATATAAACGTATTAAGGAGAAAAAACTGAATTCACATACTAGCATACAACTTGTATGTGTTGTAAAAGTATTCTTTTTTATATTTCGCCCCGCAAATTAAGGTAATTTATTTAATCTTTTGTTTTGTATGCTAATATTAAGAAAATATTTTCATTTTAAACATGTCATCGAATCACGTGAATGTGTTATTTATTTTTGTCCACCAAACGTGTTTATAGGCACGTGAATTCCAATTGCTGGATTTTTCGAATCAACAATTTTTTAAAAACATTTTTTTAACAAATAAAAAATAGTAATAATATATACTGGAGTTAGATGCTGATAAATTGATAAATCCTGTGCATGTCTACGTCATGCCAGTTTCGTAAACACATATATTTTTTAAAGAATATATTTTGACGTATTTCTGGTCAGCCTTCAGTTATCGCACTTTTTGCTTTATCGTGAATCCATCATCATGGAATGACTTTCACCACGAGAAGTTTTAAGCAATCTTTTTTCTTATTGGTCTAAAATTTAAGAAACAAGACCGTTGATTGGACCGGTTAATTCGTATCTAACCTTTCGCCCTTTTTTAAGTTTAAATAAAAGTTCCATGTCTAAGTGAACAGACTTACTGAAAATACGACCATTAACTAAAACTGAAAAGTTTTTTAATCTAAGTTTCAAAGAAATTACGGATATGTTTCTGAAACTTTTTGTGTTGGCTTTTGCCGTTTCTTGTGCAATTGCTCATAATGCGGCCCATACTGAATGTGAGTATTTTTTTTAATGTATAAACACATTGTACATAATCTACATGCTGTTTATTTTTAAGTAAAAATTACTATTTTAACCCTAGATGACTAAATATTCGTCAATTAAACTACCGACGTTTCGCCAATTTTGCGAATCCTAGAATTTACCGTAACATCCTCAAAGATTACAAACACAAAATATTATCACTTATCTATATTTTAATGACAATTGAAGCAAAAGGACTTACAGTTGAATCTTATTTTTGTGTTCCAAATTTGTGTTATTAATTCGTAATCAATAGAGCAAATGATTGGCTGTTAATAGAATTAGTTATATAGTTACTCTGATTTAGTTTTAGCTACGAAGGTTAAAGAATGTTTAAAAATAATAGTTTGTAACTCGCACTGATTTCTGTTTTAATTTTTATGCGATTAGCTTCGAAATCCTTATATTAAGCATGTTTGAAACACTATACAGTTTCTACAACTTTAAATGCAGTCACTAGAACTTAAGCTAATGCGTTTCTGAGAAAAAATTATAAGGAATTCTTTATATCGATAAAGATTACTTTTTTCAGTGTCAAAAAACGCTACTTACGGTTTAATTTTGGTTTTTAATTTGAAAGATTTTTATTATTTTCATCTTCATATTTGGTACTTAAACGAAAAGCTTGGCGAAATTGCGAAAATAATGAATCTAAAACTATGTGACTAAATATGAAATACGATGAATTATTCTATAGTCGTAATACGTTTGAAATAAAATTTATAACCTAAAATATATGTAAAATGCTATAATATCTAAAACTTTCTTTAAAGTGCTTTAAACGTAAAAAAAAAAAAAAAAAANAAAAAAAAAAAAAAAAAAAAAAAAAAAAAAAAAAAAAAAAAAAAAAAAAAAAAAAAAAAAGAATCAGGTCAATCTCCAAATGCTTAATTGACTAAATGTGATATAAATATTAAACTATTTCAATATTTGGTTTTGTAAAGAAATATTTATTTTTGTACGGTTTAGTACATGGTGCACAAGGGATTTCATGAATTTTTTTCTTAGGATTAAAACACTTGATCTTTTAAAATTAACTAAATGAAAGCATTTTAATTGGTTACTAAGTATTAAAGCGTCATTTTAGTATTGTGGCCATTTTAAAAATCGTGCGAAGACCGTACCGTACATTAGGATTTAATCCTAACTAAATATTTTTTTTAATAAAAGCTACTAAATTTTGTTTTAAAATTAATATCATAAACTCCAATTGAGTTTTTAGAAATGTTATATTCTAAAATCTATTTGACCACTCAATTAATAAACGCGAAAAAGGGACTTGTACATAAAAATATCATTTATGCAAACTATGTTATTTATGCAAACTGTTATTTATAGTAACTATGTTATTATGTAATTCAAATATTAGCCAAAAGACTCACCCTATGCTTAAGTTTGTTAAAGAACTGATAGTAGTACCAGAAATATTTTTCAATATTTATTAAAATATTGCCACCAAAAACTGAGGAAATCTTTGTATTTATCTCCTTTTCTCTCTTAATTTTTAAATTTTGTTCAAGTAAACATAAATATTATAAATAAATGTATAGGATTTCTATTTTTGTTATTACTAACACATTTACTGATGCCAAAAGTAGAAATCCTATACATTTATTTGTAATAATTTATTTATGTTTGAGTAAACGACAATAAATAAATGTATTATTGGATTTCTACTTTAGGCATTAATAAAATTGTTAGTAATTTTGGTGCTTTTCGATTGCGCAATTATTATTATCATTTTATTAATATACTACTTTTTATTTTATTAATTTTTTAAACACTGAAGAAAACAGATGTTAACAAAAAAATTTGAAAGAAAAAAAATAATAATAAAAAATAGTTGAATTTTATTTTGCCCGGCTAACCGAAAAGCACCGAAATTATTTTTAAAAAATGTAACATTAAGAGGAGGAATCAGATTTTCAAATTGAGAAATTTAATTGAAACATTACAAGATAAAATAAAACGCATAAAAATACTAGTACGTTAGTAATCACGTTAGTAATTTACGTTAGTTACGTTAGTAAATACGTTAGTAATTTTTTTAGTACGTTTAATTACATTTTTGAAATAATTTTTTTTATCTACGTACTTATTAAAAGGGCTAATATATCTTTGGTTTAATTTTACTTTCATCGATTTTTTTTATTATTTTATCTTATAGTAGATTTTATTGGCCTTTTAAATGGTTGGGACAATGTTTTTGTAATTCCCGTCACTACAAAAACATTGGCGTGGATAATTTTTACCGAGAAAATTGAAGATTAAGACTTTTTTTTGTAACTAACACAAAAAAGATTTAATTAAAATATTAAATCACGAAGATTTTATTCTACTATATGAATCCTTTCAAACGGGTCAAAAATTGTCAGTTAAGTCTGTCTCATTAAGTAGATTATTATCTGACTCATTAAGATCCGAGTGATAAAGTTTTGTTTTTAAGAAAAGAAATGAGTCAAAAAAGATCCTACATGATATTAGGGGTGATAACATTCAGAGTCAACACTTTCCTTTTATTTCTTGTTTGCCATTAGGGCAATCATTTGTTTAGATAAGTATCTTTAATGACGTCACTTTTAATCGTTTAAATTTAAGGAGATTCACTGGAAAATAAATATTGCATCCGTTGAAGAAATGTTCTTTCAAAACAAAATGCTCTCGGTGAAAGATTTATCGTGAAAAATTATGTGCTATGTGTTGAATATTTACTTTTTTTGATGCGAATGAAAAAATTTATCTGGATTTAATTTCTTGCGAAATTTATTCCTTTTGTACTATTTTGCAGTTAGCTGGGGGCCATTAAAATATTACGCACGCACCTAACTATACTATAAAAGGGTTCTGTCTTACTTATGCTGACAAGGGGGGGAGGGGTATGAGCAGTGTTTACATAGGACATTAAAATCCCTCTACTAATTTTTTTTAAAACTCAAAGTAATTCAGAAAAAAAATTGGAAAGATCATTTTTCGTTCAGTGTTTCGACCACAGAAAGAAAACAAAAAGATTCGTCTTCGGTAGAATATTCAACTCAAAATTTTATTAGATTAATGAAAACCTAAATCTAGTTTTGTGAAAAGTTACGTCCGTTATTTGAATGTTATCCTGAAATTAGATTGCTACAATAAATGTCTAAAAATCCTTAAGCAGGCGTCTGTTTAGAAGTAATTTGGGTCCGTTAACGGACCCTTCACAAAATATCTTTTCATAAAAATTTACATAAATAAATATAAGGGTTGTAGTAACAAGTCTTCTGCCTATGCTTCTGCGCGATAGCAGTTTAATAATATCTAGAATTGGAGAAAAATTTTATCTCTGATTTGCGCCGACGTTACTTGCTTGTTTTTGCAAAGTTTATATAAGTATCTTAACGTCACGTTTAATCATTTAAATTTAAGCAGCCACACTTAAATATAGAGTTCAAAATAAATATTGCAGTTCTTAATGAAATATTCTTTCAAAACAAATGGCTCTCGGGGAAAGATGCGTCAACTAATTAATTAATTTCCTTTTAAAAATTTGAAGAGTTAGTTAAAGCTTCAACAGTTGCATCAGAAAACTTATATCTAAATAAAATTGTTTGGAAACTTTTTTTTATATACAATTTTAAACTTATTTTACATTTTTACAAAGCATAAGCAGAATAGCAATAAGCACCCCGGATTTCTGTTATATTTTATATTTAAAGCAGTTGGATCGTAAAATTCACACTAGATATTTCATTCTTGATTTAATAAACTTGATTTTAAAAGATTTTAATAACCATTAAACATGCATAATTAAAACTCATATACAAAATGTCTGATATTCACTAGAATTGAATTTTAAGTACTGTCGAATTTTTAAAAAAATTATGCATACCTGTATAAAAGAAGTACCTAATACAAAATTTCAGAGATAATTTTTAACAAAACCTGCTTAAAGTTATCACTACAATAGTTATTTCACTACTACTGAGAAAAAGTTTCCTCAAAAAGGGTAAGTTTTGTCGCCATTTTATATCAGCTGCGATAGTATTGGGTGGTTACATTTTCTTTTCGATTTATGAAGTAACCTTTGTTTTAAAAGTTTAGTTAAATTCATCACTTATAAAAGTTTAATGAATTATCTAGAAAATAAATAATACAGTTGTTAGATAACGTTTTCCAACAAAGATTTACCAATTTATTAAAAAGAAAAGAAATCAATTTTTAAAATTTAAATAAAGTTACGTGTTATTAGATGCATGTGAAAAAGTTTAACCGAATTTAATATTTGGGGAACAAATTCCTATATCCCTTTGTGAAGTTATTTAACTCTTATAAAAAGTAAAATTATAATATAGAATATGCTGCTGCATTTTCAATGAATAACAATCGAGTGCGAATCATTTCATAATTGTTCTTAACTATGACCATCGTTTGCGATTTTATTAATGCATTTTATCCGAAGTAAACTTATACCAATTTCTAACCTTTAGTCTAAATTTAGCAGTTATGAAGATTATTTGAGTTTTGTAGTTGTTGTTACGTATGCTACTTGCCAATATCAGCAAAACTGTTTAGGCAATTAAGCGAATTTTTAAGGCAGAGGGTGCGTTTCTTGTTTTTCAGTGGCGCCATCTATATGCAAGAATATGACTTCAGCTACACACATGTCACAGCCCGTTTTACTGGGAGGACCCAATCATACTCCATTCATTCATCCACAGATCGTAATTTTTACTTGAACCAGAGAACGATGAATCTTCAATTAATTATCCCCAGAGGAACTGATTTATTACGGGAACAGATTGATTTATTACAGGACTTTGCGACCCCGACAGATTTAACATGCACCAGTCACTATTTAATACACTGGATTTTTCCGACCGGCGAGAATAGAACTTATTTTAATTTTGAAATCATAACATAGAATGTCCTACTCAAACAGATTTCACATATAACTTTTAATTCCTTATCCTTATGTCTGTCGTTGCAGTCAGAAATTTATTTCTGAATGCAACGTTAGTTCTTCGGGTTTCTATACTTTTCCTTGCTTTAAATTTTTAAAAGAAAATATGGTATCGCGTTATTGTTATATACAGGTTGATTATCAAATGATAGATTTTCTTATACAAATAAAAATCAAATTAAGTTTTTTAAATTTATTGTTTGCAGTTCACATGATTTCATTACTTAAACGTTACTAATCTCTATTTTAAAAGTCCAAAAAGCATAAACATTAAAATTTTGAATATCCCATGAAAAAATTATACTTGCGTGCTTGTACTGAACTATTTTTTTTCTTACAATTTGATTTTATATTTTCCAAGTGTGCCTGTAATCAGTACGTTACTATATTTGTGGTAAAGGCTATTTATTATTATTTTTTTATAATTTTAAAAGCGTGGTCAAGACTTAGTACTACTTTAGTACTACTTTTAGTAAAATTTGTCATTATTATTACTTTTTTTAAAAAAAAAAACTAAGAATAAAATTTTATGTTATATTTCTCTACTATAACGAAATATTATTATTGATTATCGATAAAGCTAATGATTAATCGATTATAGTATGTAGGGAATTGCATGAATACAGTGAGGGAAGAAAAGAATTCCGATAATATGAACATTCCAAAATCTTGTACGTTATCGTAAATACGTATGTTTCGTTATTCACCGTATTATTAGATAAAAAGTTCATTGTTATAATTAATATTTTATAAATTTTCACTTAATTTTCTGTTGCTCTTTTTGGCAGGTGTCAACACAACAACCTTTTGTAAAGATCTTGTCATGCAAGTTTCAGAATGTAATGCTGAACATGAACGTTGTCCTCTTTATCAAGGAAAAAGTCATACGGTAACATTCGAGTGCAGTAAGTAAATTATTATTATTCTATATTGTACGTTATATAAATCATATTATTCTATGTTATGTTGTTGTCATCGGTCATTAAGGCAGAGAGGCTGCGATTGTTCTTGTTTTTCCAGTGGCTCCATCTATGGCCAAGAATTCGACTTCTGCCACCCCCATACGTCACACCCGTTTATAAGGCGGACCCATCCACAGATCGTAATTTTGTCCTGCACCAGAGAACGATCAATCTCCAATTCTGTACCCTCAGAGGTATTGCTTTGTTAGGGGAACATGGATTTCGTGACCCGCCAAACTTATCGTGCACCAGTCACCATTTACTACACGGGGAGTCTTCGACCTATTTTGAAATTCTATAGAATTGCGATATTTATTTAAGAATGATTTTAAAATTATAGTAGTCTTAAAAAAAGGAAAAAGTCTTTAAATATCTACGCCTATTTTGTTGGATGCAAATTTTGCACGGGTCAAATAAAAGCTTCAAGCATAATCTTTCAAATTGCGCCCACAATTTTGCCACAAAAAATCTTCGAAAAAATAAACTACTGAAAGAAAGATTGTTTACATGGAGTTAGTATATAAGTGCTTCCATGTTTTTGTCCAACCTCTGCAGGTTATCGTCATATATAGTTAACAAGTAAAATTATTTTACATTTATTTCTTAGTGTGGCTTACGTTCTGTATTTTTTATTTTTTTAAAGTAAAGCTGAATAATTGTCAAATCCAAGTAATCGTAAATTTTGTTGCGATTAACATATTTACAAAATGCTCTTACATAAAACTGTAACTATTATATAAACAAAATGATTTTGTTTAAAAAAATATTAAATTTCAAGTATAATAAAAAACAGATGATTGAAAGGTAACCAGTGAGCGAAGCCTCATAGTAAATTAGAACTTTTGGCAGTAATGTAAAGCGCTGATAAATAGTAATTACAAATAAAAAAAATTGTATTGTGCTTAAACTAAGAGCAGCTACTTTCAAGTATAATAAAAAAAAATACTCAAATTTTGTTTAATTTAAAATTTGTTTAATTTTTCTTCAATTGTGTTTCATTGAGTTCTATTTGAAACAATTTTAAAAAAGAGTAATCTTTAATTGGTTTTTAAAATAGCCTTAGCATAAAAGTGATAATCAAATGTTTTCGTTCAACTATTTTAAACTAAAGAAATTTTTTGACTTTTTTTTAAACATTTAAATAAAAAAAAATAGCGGTTGGTGGTTTAAAAAAATTAATAACTTTAAAATATTCTAAAGTTGGGGGAAATTATTAGGGGGAGGGCACGTGTTCACCCGACGGTACGCCTATGATCTGACCTTTAATTTACTGTTTAAAATATTTAAGTACTGGTGGAAAAAAAGTTCTTTTAATTCGAATTCATTAAAATCTTAATACACGGTCTTCGCTATCACTAGAAAAATAGTTTCAGAAAATACGAAAAACCCGTAGTAGAATTCTTATTAAAATTGCACAAATTACCATAATACCAGTAGTACATATGGGGATTTTTTTTTAGGTTCCTCTAGTCCAGTGGTCGGCAAACTTATTAGCCAAAGAGCCAAATATGAACATTACACCAATTTTAAAAAAAATTGAGAGCTAAATCTGCTTGTTTAGTAAACTTTTATTACACTAAATAAAACTAAATTTCCTACTTAAATATTTATTAATGCGAACAATGTGCTTGGAAAGTTTAAGTAAGTCAGGTTTGTAAACTGCTGTTTGTAGAAAATGCAACACCATGAAGGAATCATCAGAATCAAATGAAATATTATTTTAATAATGGATATAGGATATTATGCAAATTAATAAAGTTTCAGAGCCATCGCGCGTGCGTGGCGCGCGCAGCGCCCTCTGAATTGATGCTGAAAGCGTATAAATAAAGTGCTNGTCTTCCTTCTCCAGGTCATTCAAAGCAGACCACTTGTGTTGTGAACTAAGATCAAATTTTTTCTTCTCCAATATTTCCAATTCAACACAAAGACGTTCGAATTTAGAGCGCCATATCTCCTTGTTTTTTAAATCCAGCAATTGTATTTAAAGCTGCCAATGTCAATTTCAAAAAGAGAAAATTTCAACTCGGCTATCGTAGCATTAAGAGGATTTTTGACAAATGCTAAAGTTGCGCTGCTGTTTTCTTACCAAGGTTCTTTTTTAAAATTGAAATATTATTGCACCTTCCGTAGATATTTGTGCCAGAGCCGCACTTAAGAAGCCAAAGAGCCACATGCGGCTCTGGAGCCGCACTTTGCCGACCACTGCTCTAGTCGAATAAGTACTTCTCCCCCCAGTAATTTTGCTTTTTAGTACATAACTTATTTCTTTTATTTCAATATGCATATATTACGTAAATTAATTAAGCACAATTGATGTCAATTGAATAGCGATTTAAATTTACCCTACGCAAATTAGTATACTACTTTTCTATAATTCTGTCTTTAAATGCATAACTATTTTTTTTCATTTCAATTACAGTAGATTTTAAATTATTTTCTTTTTATAGAAACAGATTTACCTGGTATTAATTTGGTGACATAGTCCAAGCATGCTACCCCGTTAATGTTGTTTATTTGACATAGCAAATAAAAAAATAATCAAATGCTAAAGTACGTTCAATAAACTATTTTTTTGATCAAAGAGCTATAAACTAGCTAATATCACTAATGTTATTTTTTTAAAATATTTGAAAAATTAAATCGTCTATAGTTTTTAAAACATTAGTTAACATTTAACCAATGAGAAAATTCCATTTAGTTTTTCGCTCATCCCGTTTGAACGGTTCGTCGTAACTGTGTCCTTCTTCGTGCTTCGAACTATCTGTATGCCATATTTCATAGTTTTCGGTCGGATGGTTTAGGAGTCAATAAAAGACACATACAGATATTCATTCATATATATATAAATGAATATCTATATAACATTGATTGTGGTAACTATTTCATAAAATATTTGAATAGTTTTTAATAATATATTTGCAATAAACTAAAATCATTTTATTTTACAGCTCCCACTAAAAACTTCACTGGCAAAACTGATTTTAGAGTTTATGGAGTATTTGAAAAATTTTCCGTTCCATACAGGGGTAAATCTGATGCTTGTGAGTCTGCTGTGACAACAGATACTAATACTCCATGCAAAGACATGGGTGGATTTTTCCAAGAACGTAGATTTAGGCACGAATCAAATTTCGCTGTTTCAGTTAACTATCCAAAAGTATGTATCAGATGCATTATTTTATACTATTTAACCAACAATTTCCACAACAGAACTTGGTACTGGTGTGACAAATACTTGTATCACTTCATACATGGCACATTTATAAAAACCGGTACATACTATGAAAACAGAGCAAACGATTTTTTCAGTATTTTCCTGAAAAAGAATATCGCACAGTCTTTTTACCTGCTTTCAGAAAACGCCGCTAGATTTTGCAGGTTCTTTAAATGAACCCTTTTTGAGTTGCCTCTAAAAATATAAATTACTAAAGACACCAGAATTTTGCCCATAAGATATTGATTTTTTTAAAATTCATTTTTGAACTGCAATATTAAAAATGAACAACTTAACATTTTCTTCCCCTTCAAATGTCATATACACAACATAAATCGCCCTTAGAGTTGAGGAATTTTGTGTTTTTTAAGTGAGACTTCTAATATGCTAAGTTTTGTTTTGCACCAGGCCACTAAAATGTAGACTATTTTCTAATATGATAAAATAAAAACAAGGTTTTTAAAGTTTCAATAAAATAAATGTTTGAAAAAAAGCAGATTTTTATAATTTTAAAAATTTCGGTCCGTCCCTCGGTGCAGTTACGGAAGTAGGACTTCCGAAAAATGTTATGATGGTCCCCACCCTTAAGATGACTGAGCCTGGTTTGCTTATCAACAAAGCCATTGTATTGATATTTCATTCAACTTTAAGAGTATTTAACTAATTTTCATCCTGTTCCTACATGTATCATATACGATTGAAACTCATTAAGACGAATGATAATAAAATCTTTTAGTATAAACCGATTAAACTGTCTTACCGATGAATTTTAAAAAAAAATCACTAAAGCAAATATAACAAATAATTTAAATATCTGTAGAGAAATAAATAAAACGTAAAAATACTTTGGAATCACTTTTTAAAAATCTTTTTATTTCCCGAACTAAAGGCTTTTTCCTCGCAAATTTCCTAAGAGCTCATGTATCAAATAAAACGTCCACTTCACAGTTCCGCCATCAGCAGGATCTTAAGTCTACGTCTCTCATACTGGTTCACGCCTTCTTTTGTTCAATTGATGACGTCACCAATTACAAATTATTGCGAGATAAAGACAATACGCAATGCGAAGCATCTTAACTGTTTCGTTTTGAATACTTGTTTGCCTCCTAAGTAAGGTGGTCCTCGAAGCAAGGGCTTAACTTTGGGGATCGGACAAACCTCTTCTTAAGCTCCAGAATTGGTTTTTTATTAAAAGTAAAAGGAAGGGCTGGCTTTTATGAGGTAAATTATTTATGTTTTTGCCATAAACTCTGTTAGCCGCAAACTTAGCTGTGTCGCAAATGAAAATATGACTAGTTGTCCATTTCAGTTTCAAGAAAAAATGTGAAAGTTCACCTCAAAGGTCACAATGAGAATTCGTTTTAATTTTAGAAAGACTTAATCGATGTTGTTACTTCTTATGATTCTTTAATCTTTTCAGATACAACTGAAAGTTCGATTTTCCATGTGTGACAGAAGAAGCAAAGTATGCATGATGTGCGCTGAGCTTCCAGTAGAAATAATGTAAGAATTCATCTTTTTATTGATATATAATTAATACTTTCTACAATTTAAATATACTGATGTGTGTAAATGAAATTTCCCCATAAATTATTAAATTAAAATGGAAAACATCATATATATATATATATATATATATATTTAATAAGCATCAATATTGAGTTTTTTGAAATTAGAGTTGAAAAAAAAATTAGATATAATTTTACAATCAAATATATTTGTAATTATAAAAATCGGAAAAACATGCAAAAATTTTACAATAAAACGTTCTTTTGTTTTAAAATACAGAATGTAAAAATAAATCTTTACTTTTTATAGTATTAAGATTTTGCAGTTTGCTTTTTCAAGATAAACTTACTTGTAAAAATAGTTGTAAATGAAAATGTTTACATTTAAAATGTTTGCAGATAAAATTAATCTTATCAAATATATTTATGCTTGTATTTAGATGAAGTATTTTATTATGAAACTTGTACTTTGAAGAATATTAAGTGCAGAACAAAATAAATTACCAGAATAAGTATTTCTTGGCAAGGAAAATTTTTTAAATTGTGAGATGTTTATAACAGATTCTAGTCCTGCAGTGGACTGAACGCTATGACACGGTTTACAGTAAGACACCGAAATCAAACATCAGACTGCGGTCAGTGACCACTTCGATCAGTCTAAGAAGGGACCAAGGATGTGCGGTATTGGCTCTCATTTAACTGTTCTACCGTAAAGTGTTTGACTTTAAGCAAGGGTGCCATTCCTTCTGCAGAGGATAAAAATTGTGATGCCATGTCTTTGAATCATCCTCAGGGATGTTTCCTATATCATCGCCAATAGCCCATTGTGCAGCTCTAGCGCAACGTAAATAAACTACAACAACAACCGATTCTAAATTTAAGAAAGTATAAATTCAGGGAAAAAATCTACCTTAGGATTGTATAAAGAACTTTTAATTTTATAAAGAAACGAATTTTCTGTAGTTAAAAACAGCAGAATAAGTAAATACAAAAATTTAGTTACTGATCACAGTGAAGCTTTAAATGTTTTTTTTTTGTTCATTGAACAGAACATTTAATTTTTTAGCAGGACAACTTGTAATCATTTACATCCTTTTATCATTAAAAGATACAAAAATAAGACTTTCTGTAAAAAAGTCCCAAATGTCATTCATTGTTTTATTGAAGCATTCATGTTAAATTTCTCATCCTGTTTCAGGAGTCCACCAGGAGAATAAAAATTTTGCAAATACCTAATTTGATATTTTAATTTGTGGTAAGTATAACNTATATATATATATGATTTATTTTTGGGCTACAAAATGTTCGAATTCGCTACTTTTGGAGCTCCCATTCGCTACTTTTTAATCTTAAGTTCTGGCAACACTGATTTTGACAATAAATATGCATTATATAGTACGTGAAAGTGCCGCAAAATTAATTGGAGTATGAGATAACTACAATAACTAATAGTCTGCAGTGAAGTAATAAAATACCGATTTTTCTATGTATTGAATTATTTTTATCTCTCGCAGGACCTTCTAAGGGCCGAAACGAATGTCGCCCCCTAAAATTATTCCTCATAAGACATACATCCCACTAGTTTATTTCAAAATTGGCGAGTCACACTTCCCTAGTTTCCCTGAATTATAAATGAGTAAGTAAATTATCACCTTACATGAAAAAAAAACATTTTGTTGTTAATATTTTTATAATTCATAAACTTGTTGTGGTCAATAATGAAGTGGTGAATAATAAAATAAATACAGATATAGTAAACGTGACTTTACGTCTGATTTTTCCTTGTCAATAAATAAAATAAAACCTGCATATAAACAGATGAAGAAAAATGATTAGTTTAAAATTAAGGATAATTCACAGCTTAAGTCACCACCTTTTTCTCCTCATGGCTGCGAAGGAATTTTGTAAGAATCTCCCACCAATTTAATGGACGAGTAATTTCTATCGCTGCTAAGTTCTTAATGTTTGCCTTTAAAATCAGAAGAGTGTTCTGTCCTAACTTGCTAGTCCTCGAAAATTTCCAGAGATCTTCTCATTCTTTTCTCTAAGTTTTATTTAATACTCCAATTTTTATGCCTATATATATATATATATATATATCAATACATTATAGTTTATTTTAATTACATTAAAGGCTACGCCCTCTTCTAATCATTGCACACCAATCCTCAGAGTTTTACAATTTAATTACAACAAAAAAAATTAGAAATTCAAACAAAGACATGTTTAAATAAAACATGAGAAAATAAGTTTTCATTAATATGACGAATGGCCAACAGTGAAAATGTATGAAAGGTCACAGCAACCTCCCATCAGGGAGCGTAGCCAGATTTTTCACCAAAAAATAAGCACCTTTTAAGTACTTTTTAAGTACTCAAAAAATATTTTTAATCACTTTCCAAAGAAAAAAAAATTATAACTAGGATCTGTGCAGTAACAAAAATAATTTTTTTCTATCCTTTTAAAGTTCTTAATTTATAAACATAAAATCAATAAAATTCAAAAACATTTTCAAAAACTTTACATAATCACGATAAAATAACTACTAGTTTCTAATAAACAGTACAGATAAAATTATAAAAATCATGAATTTTTTGTAATTTAGAGCGACAATCGATTGAGCAAAGAAAAAATCTCTTCTTAAAAGATAAAAAATTAAGCACTTTTTACAAACACTAAATAAAAAAGCACCGTAAAGGGCTTTTAAAAAACGTAAATCAAAACTAAGCACTTTTTAAAAACGCTATGCACCCTGCCCCATCCTGCAGTAGCAAAACATGAGAACTTTTCTTAAGCATTTTCATATTTTCTGTGACCATAGTCGAATCAAAGATGAGATAATACACCTTCCAATTAAACTTAGGATCAATAAAGAGAAATTATGATTAGTTTCTATATCATTTTTAAATTAAATTGAAGGGCTTTCACGAAATATGATTCAGCAAAATATGATCAGCAAATAATATATTTGAGTAATTCAGGCTTCGATTGGCGATAATATCGCTCTGAATTCATCCTGTGGCAAACAGGAAAGGACTGAAATTACATTATCATAAGGCACGAGATTTTGTGCCAGATTCATTTAAAGTATTTTTCCACACACGAATAATCATTCTCGAAAGTGAATGATTAATGTAGGAAAAGATCTTGTATTAACACCTGTTCCAAAATAAGTTCTTTGTTTATACATGAAAATTATTAAAAGAGAGCAAGTATCACTTCACCCTAAAGCATATTTAGTCGCTAAACTTATAACGAACAGCTTAGTCAATAATGCAGGCTGAATTTTAAAGTACCAGTTCCTGCTTTTGAGGCAAATACTAGTTAATGCTTAATAAATTCAAAGGGCAGGAAAACGGCTGAATAGATTATGCTCCCTCCCCCTCTGCAATACAAACACATTTAAAACAATTATATCGATGCACTGTGAATTAAGAAAAGATAACACTCTGAATAACTTATATACTTATCAGATTTTCCCTTACTTATCTTAATATTAGTTAAGTTGATCTCAAATATGCTAATCAGTTAGAGCTACCTACTTAATTAAGTTAAGAATTTGGACACAAAAACATGCTTTCTGAATAAAGAAACTTTCTGAATAACTTTTTTTTCTAATGACAAATTGGTTGGTTGAGATTTATTAGCACAACAGTCAAAAATGGCTATACTGCGCCAGTCGCTAGGTTAAGGAATTTCAATAATTTTTTTTAAAAATTATGAATATTGTTTTTTATCAACTTGATAATTGTCAGACTACTAATTTAAATGAACAAGGTTCTCGAAAGAAGGACGGCGAGTCAGAAATCACAAGTTCGAAAAACCACTGAAAGACGGAGTTCGAACATTTAAAAATAATTTAAAGACAAGATTTACAAATGTTTGAGTGTATTAAGTTTTCTACTCTCATTATGCAAATGTTATTTTTTGATTGGATGATAAATATGCTTGTATATATATGACAAATCGAGATTAGATTTGGTGANCTTGTTCTCACGAACGGGAGTGAATTCTCATGTTACGGAGAGTAGAATACTCTCGAGGATTGTTTTCTTTTATGATGTTTAAGTTAAGTTATCCCGAACGGCCTGTGTAGGGGGCAGGGAACTGTCCTTGTATCAGAAAGGTTCTGGATTCGAATCCCGGGCAAGGCATGGATGTTTCTTTCTCTCCGTGTGTTCTATGTCCTTTCTCCTCTGTGTGCGTGAATGGGACCCGCCCTATAAACGGGTTTGTGGTTGTGTGAATGGTGTGGCAGAAGCCGAATTCTTGCCCATAGATGGCGCCACTGAAAAACAAGAACAATCGCACCACCTCTGCCTAAACAGACAAAAAAAAAGTTAAGTTATGATTTTTCTTGCTTAATAAAAATTCTTGTTAGTTCAAAGATGACTCTTTCATTATGCTTGCCTACCATTTTCAACTACGCACTAAACTCTGCCAGCAATAATATTGTAATGTATTGGGTCACCAAGCAGTGATGAAGTATCTGTATAAAAACTACCAAAAAGTTTGAATCCCCTACAATCAGTTAAAATGTGTTTAACTGATTGTAGCACCCATCTTTAGTGATTATCGACTTGGCACTCACTGCAGATGAGTACAGGTTCGGCCTTCAGTAAATGTACATGAGTAAATCGACAGATTTGGAGTCTTGACAATGGGGTATATCGAAATATTGGGGTTGCCGCAATTCGGAAGATATGGCCTCAGGAGATTAGACAGAAAAGCGATTGAAAATTTGAGCCCCTTAATTTTAATACTACTGCAATATTTCTTCATATTTCAAGAACTTAAGAACCTTTTACTAACATTTATAAAACTCTTGCTTTTTATTATTATTATTTTTTTAAATGTAACTTCAACAACGATACTCGAAAACTGTTATTGTCGTTAAAAACTGTTATTATCTTATCAACCGGCAGTGCTATCAAACTGGATTGACAGACTATTTAATAAATCGAATTTCATGATTTTTTAAAGTAAATTTAAGGTTATCAACACACAGCAGCTGTAGAATCAACAATGTAAAATAGTGATAAATTCAAAAATGATATCAGATTCATTATAAATTGGTTTGAGTAAAAAACTATTTTATTCATGTTGGATCCGCAGGTTATTGCAAACTTAATAAGGATTAATTAAATTGCTATTACGCTAATAACTTCAAATATTGCGGGGTTCTAGAATAACTTTTGGGTTATCATTTATGAATGGAGGGCTTATCGAGTTGGATTTTTTTTTCGTATAAAGATTATTTTTAAATTATTTATTAAGTCCTAAGGGTCACAAATCTTAAGTCAAAATATATAAATTTCTACATTTCAACTAAAAAATGTGCGCTTTAAAGCCTGAGAAGATGACAGTTTTGCATTAGTTTCAGTAGAATGTATTGATTTCTCAGCAATGATTATAAATTGTTGTGTATTTTAAATGGATTAAAACTTACATTTACTAAAATGACTTGGATTGAGCTGCGATAGCTCAGATAGAGCGTTCGCCTTCCAATGAGGTGAACCGAGTTCGAATCCCTACGATGGCTGGTTGGTAGGAAGTACCACAGTGCTGTAATGAAATATCCTCAGTGGTAGACAGATCTTGGGTTAGAGTCCCTTTGCCGTCAGGCTAACCGTGGAGGATCTCGTGGTATTTCTCTCCATGTAACGCAAATGCGGGTTAGTTCCATCAAAAAGTCCTCCAGGAAGGCAAATTTCTCCCAATACTTGATCCAGGAGTTCCCTTGTCTTCTAGATCTGGTTTAAAATTACAAGGCTACGGAGTTGAACATTTGTAGTCGTAAACCCTAAAAATTGGGTTGGCTGCTCAACGACAGCTATAAAAAAAATTACTTAGATTGAAAACTCTTTCGTGTATTGAAGAAAATAATATGGTTTCACATTGGAGGTAGTAATGTTTATTTTGATTAATATATTTACTGCTGCTACATGCTTAAGAAATTTATTATTAAGTTTGGGTTTTGTCTAAAGAAGCTCGATCAAAAGCTTGGGATTTAAAAAAAAAAAAAAAAAATGGAATTCCAGAATCGAAAAAAAGGACTCCAAGTTGTCCCTCAAATTTATTGTAATGGTATGTAAATTTTTATCATTAAATATATTTGTTTTTAAAAAGTTAACAAAGTAAGGTAAAGTAAATCAGAATTCTGATTTTCATAAGTTTTCAACTCGGTTGTCCCCAATATTCCCTTTACTTTAGACGCAAAAAATA